GGTGTAAAGAACGGGGAGGCGCGCGGCGGTGTGGACGGCTGCCGGCCCGACGACAGGCGCGCGATCCCGGAGGGGAGCACTTTTCTCTGTGCAAAGCCTTTAGTGCCCGTGTCTGACCTAAATTCGGGGGGACACCCATTTCTTTCTCCGTTTAGTTGGACTTGTACAAGGGCACTCACCACTAAGCCTTTGTGAATATGGGCAAAGTCTAAGCATCCTGGTCAGGCCCTCCAGCGAGCGACTCATCCGGATCTCCTCCCCCAGGCCTGATCCAGAGCTTATGGAAGGCATGATGGCAGCGCAGAGCCTTCTCCAGCCACGCAGAGCCGGCCCGCACGGAGGCCTCCTCCACCCACCTGCTCCTTGGCAGTCCCTGGGAAGTCTCGGGCTCTCCAGGGGCACCAGAGGACACGTCCTCTGAGCAGGGCTAATGTCTCGTCCAGGGCCCACGCTGCTTAAGAGAGCTGTTCTCACTCTCCATTGCAGTAGTTCATTTTTCTTTTCACAACAAAGGAAACTTGCACATTTTTCCTCTTATCGAAGTATTTGCTTCTGAATTGTATTACCCCAAAGACTCATTTTCCCATTTCAGTCCTTACTAGCAGTGTGACCCCAGGGCATTTCACCTAACTTCTCCGTATCTCAGCGTCCTCATCGATAATGTAGGAAAAATAATACCTTCTACTTCACAGATTTTTTTTTCTTTTCTTTTCTTTTTGAGACGGAGTTTCGCTCTTGTTACCCAGGCTGGAGTGCGATGGCGCGATCTCGGCTCACCGCAACCTCCGCCTCCTGGGTTCAGGCAATTCTCCTGCCTCAGACTCCTGAGTAGCTGGGATTACAGGCACGCGCCACCATGCCCAGCTAATTTTTTTTTTTGTTTTTTTTTTTTTTGTATTTTTAATAGAGACGGGGTTTCACCATGTTGACCAGGATGGTCTCGATCTCTTGACCTCGTGATCCACCCGCCTCGGCCTCCCAAAGTGCTGGGATTACAGGCTTGAGCCACTGCGCCCGGCCTACTTCACAGAATTTTTAGAGGGTTGAATGAGTTAATAATGGTCAGTGCCTCACACGGGGTAAATGCCATGCCTGTGCAGTTTTTGCCTGATGTTGTTATTAGGTTGACAGTGCGCGGTCTGCCTGTGGAAGAAACACAGGATTGGTGTGAAAGGCTTCCAGTTGGCTCTGCCCTGCAGGGTGTTGAGCCTGTGGGCAAGTCACTTAACCACTCAGGTCAGCTGATCCCTCTCTAGTAGGTGCCTGAGGGCCTCACAGACACAGCACACTCACGAAGAGGGGCACTGGCCTGTTTTTAATGACCCTTAGGCCTCCAGACTGCTGCTGCCAGGGCTGTCTAGCAGGTCCTCACTCCAAAGTTCCCTCCTGACTTTAGTGCCTGACCAATGGCTAAAAGACTCCACCAGATTTTTATTAAATCTTTAAAATCTACTTAAATTCGGCTCTAGCAGCATATTCTCTCTATCATGTTCCAGAGGTCCCTTATCACTTCCCCTTTACCTGTGGCTGTAGTTAGCAAGCCCCTGGCTGCCAGCTACCCCAGCACACTCTGTGAACCCCGCACACCCCACACACCCCAGTACACCCAGCACACCCACAGGGCAGCTTTGGGCTGTGGATGGGCTGTGGATGGACCAGTTTTCAGGCCTGCTCATCCATGATAGGTCAGGCGGAGGGGGACGAGGGAAACTCACATCCAATGTGTGTAAGAGCAATTGCCAAAGTTAAGGAGGGCAAGGGGTAAAATTTACGCTAGAAGGAAAAGGGTCATCAGGAAAGGTGAGTTAGACCAGCTGTGAAATATGCAAGTGCTCACAGATGATTTTCAGGAAATACCTGTTCATTTGTTTTACTGTGATAATTTGCTGTTAAAAGAAAAAAAGAGTACTTATCTTTTAAGAAATACTGATATCTTTATGGATGAAATGATGTGATGTTTGGGATTTGCTTCAAAAATCTTAAAGGGGTAGTGAGAAAGGCAGGATAAGCAAATAAGGGAAATGTACTATTGGTATTGTGTATATTTGAATCCATTTCACTATTCTCTTGGCTTTTGGAGATGTTTTAACATTTTCCATAAGAGTCTTCTTTAAAATGTAGTTGCTCAGAAAATTTGTGCCAGTTGATTTGTACTCACCAGGAAGTCAACTCCCACCTGAACTAAGGCCTCCACCCACTTTTGCAGAGCTCCACCCTCTAGCACGAGTCACCTCCTGCTGCTCAGGAACCACCTCCAGACCTGGTCATTTTTTGTCAATGCACCGGGTATTGCTCCACAGAGTCATCTCTGGAGAAACTTTATTTCTTTGTCTTTGGTCAATGATCCCCTGTCCCTCTCCAGCAGACTGACTCCAGTGGCCGTTTATTTTCAGTTTTCCCATCCTAACTCCAGGGATTACTAAGAGGATCCACCCCCATATACACACCTACCAATCACAACGCCTTTCTCCTGTTTCAAGAAGCTTCCCTTTTTCTGATATCTTTCTAGAATGATCAGCAAGGAGATGAAGAACTCCCTCCTGACCTGGAAATACTCAAATGGAACGGGAAATTCCAACAATTTCTGTCTCCATTATCTCAAGAATAATTAAACTTTAATTCATTGTTAAAAAGGTTGCCTGCCATAAATGCTAATATAGCGAGCGCTATTGAGCTCTTAACAAGCACCAGACGTGTTTTAAGTACTTTACATGAATTAACTTAATTCATCCTCCTAACAATGCTACTGGCTAGGTTTTTCCCTATTTTACAGGTGGAAAAACTGAGGTACAGAATTAAGTAATTGGTTCAAGACCACAGCCAATTAGTAGGAGAGTGGAGAATTGAACACAAGGCATGCTTTGTCAGAGTCTGTGTTTCTGACCAGTCTGCTATAGTGCTTATCACAGCATTCAGTGCTATGGGAAAAACCAAGGTAAAAGAGGAAAGGCATAGACTGGGCCTTTATCATGAGTCAAGTGGGGCATTCAGACCTGTAGATAACTACATGTGTGCATGTGTGGTGTACTGTGTGGATCACTATTAACTAGCCTATGTTTGCTGTCTTGTAAGACGTGTGATTGGGGCTAGGTCTGTTTGGGGCAAGACCAAGCTCAGGGTGAAAGGTGAGTGACCTGCACAGGCTGTTCTGATGACATGAGCACTCAGGACGTTTTACCAGGATGAGAAAAGAAAAGGCAGTGCCGTGACAGCAGCTATAGAAGCTGGTCCAACAGGCCTAAGTCTCTAGGCAGAGGGTACCAAGGTATCTCCTGCAGAGAGGCTTTCTCTAACAGCCGTCTCTGAAATGCTAGCCAGCACCAGCACTAAGCCCTCATCCTCTGTTCCTTACTCTGCTTTGTTTTTCTTCATCGCATTTAGCATTATCTAAAATTAAATGTTGTGGGGGTTTTTTGCTTTAGTGTACTATTCTTCTCCAGCAGACTTGGTCTCATGTGTTGCTCTGTTTTCAGCATTTAGGACAATGCCTGGCGCACAGTGGGTCCTCAATAAACAACCGTTGAATGGAAGAATGAATGCTCACCATCGTCATTCAAAGAAGAATCGAGACCTCATGGATGGCTGAATAATCACTGTGTCTGCGCTACACTCGGGATGAGTCAGTCACCCTCTGGTTTAGCAGACTGTCACAGTGCTTGTCTCTCTTGGAGGGTGCTCAGCAGCTTTGGATTTGAAATGACATTGTAAAGATACTCTCCTGGAATCACATTGGCTGGGTAGCTAGGAAGGGATACTGACCTTTGTCCAAATCCCAAAGCAAGGACCTTTTGTCTAGGGGAGTTTATCAGTAGGTTCCTCCTACATGTGAATGGGAAAACTGGGATGGTCTGGAAGTTGGGCCCCTAAACTGGGAAAGAGAGGGTTTCCAGAAGTTAGAAGATGGACTTCAAACCCTCCGCACAGAAGCATGGCTAATTTTTCCCTTGTATAATAGAGATGGCTATAAGGACTAGGAGTAGTTATCTCTTCCCACTGCCTAGAGGTGAGAAGACCTACAGGCATTCACGTGTTTTTGCGGGTCACAGAGTAATAGCCATTGCTCTAGTGGCCAGGACATTGTCCAGAGACAAGGCAAAGGAAGATGGGTGCTGTTCTTTTTCACAAACTAGGAAGTACTTTCCTATTACACACCTTCATATAAGGGAGAGGATGAGGTCCTACCTAGTAGGATCTGTGAAGCTGACAAGACACCTGGGTGAAAAGTGAAAAATACCAGCAATCCCAGAGAGACATTTTATATGCATAAGGCCAAGCATCCATCTACTTGCATTTACTCTGAAACCAGACTTGTGTGATACAGACTCATAGTTTATAACATTCTCTATATGTGTATGTACATATAGTTTTAAAGTTATTTATGTCTTCTGTTTATAAGCAATATATTTCACATTTTTAAACTAGCTATAAGCTTTTGTAGATGTCATTTTTCCTATCTCAAGGTTGGTCTAGGGCTTAATTGTTTTTCTTGTTTGCAGGTGCCATGTCTTGAATTTGTCTATTGATTAGATGTTTGAGTACTGCAATAGTAATATACATCTTGTTGTTAATAAGTGCCATGAGGATTGAGGGATTGAGAGTCATCATATCACGGGTCTTCTTCACACTGCCATTAAATAGCTATGTGTCTTAGTCTAGGTCACTCCTTGGGACTCAGTTTCTCAGCTCTAATTTGAAGAGGCTGGGTTAGAGAGTTACTAAGTTTTCTTTTGGAGGCAAAGAATCTACAATTCAAGTAATATTTTATATAAACACTGTACTTCTCCTCATTGGGAGTAGCCACCATCATATGTAGGACATCTATGGGACTGATCCATGTCCAGATTTGAGCATCGAATATTTCACTACAAAAATGTGTTTATGTTAAGGTTTTGTTGTGTTTCCCAGTTCCTTCTTTAAGAAATTGAGTCCATTAAGGTATTTCCTGCTCAGCTAACATGTCCCTTATTTTTAGACAGTATGCTTAAAATAAAGGAGAGGACTTTATTTGATACCTTTATTTATATGCAAAACAGCGTACCATTCATGAGATATGAAAAACTCGTCAGATAGAAACCAGATTATATCTATTTTCACTACAAAATATTGCATTATATAAAGCAACAGAGACACAAAAAAACCCTGAAAAAGACTAAAATCTTTGGATAGCAGATGTGGTTTTTTTTTCCCTTGTCTCTAAAATACACTCCTTGTTTTAAGAGTTTCACAGCAGAGAACATGAAACATTTTCAGGTTATAGACTTTTCTTTTTGGTGTCACAGAGGAAAGTAGTTCTGAATTTTTTTTTTTTTTAGGAAAATAACTTAATTTCCTAAATTCATCACACGCACAAACATCACACACACAAAGAAGCTACTCTCCTTATAAACAGTTTGTAAAGGACTTCTCAGACATAACTACGGGATAAGAATAATACACTTTTTTAAAAAACTATAATAGTGAAGTGCTAGTGTTGCTGATCTCACAACAAAAGAACCTTTCAAGAACAAACATCTTAATATATAAAATATGTTTAGAAACAGGGAGAAGTGGGAAATTTGTTATAGAAGTGCAATATAATTAGAGCAGAAAGAAAGACCACACACGGTATAATCTCAACAAACACAAAAGTTAGACATAATTATTCCACAGGAAAAAGTGTAAACACTTGACTATAAATAAATTGGCACAGAGTATCCAAAGTAAAAGTATCACCACTCTGAAAAATAAATGTCTTGAAGAAAATACTCTACTCCTTCTAACATAAATAAAAATAGGTTGTCTTTGTCTAACTGCACCTATGGGTCCACATGTTTAAGGTCACAAATAGATGTTTTTGGATATATAAAGGGGCACTTCGCCTGCAAAAGCAATCAGATATTAAATTTTCCATTTAAATATGGATTTTCCTGTCCACCTTGGTGTCACCTCTTGGGGATAAAATCTCACCAAGTTCAAATCCTCCCACAGTGTGTCTATTTGCTCTCAATTTGTCTTTCTAACCTTACTAAATATTCAGGATTTATTTGGATTCTAATATAATCTTTATTTTCGCAACAGAACGGAAAGTTTCCTGGCGCACCTTTCTGTGCCTTCCATCTCTGTATGGGAGAGATTCCCTCCTCTCCTTTCCTCCCCAGTGTTTGGTGATTTGTCCATTAGAAAAATTCCAGATAGCATAAAAGTTATTAGCCTGCATACTCTGAACTTCTGCCCTCATTCTTTCAACACATTAAGATTTTGTGGGAGATGAACGTAGGAGAACTCAAAGTCTCCAGCGGGTTAATGCAACAACCCTTGGGGAGCCCCAGAGGCGGCTCATCTCGGGTGCCTCTACGAGGTTCTCCTAGCCTGGAAAATCCCCCCTGCGAGCCCCTGGGCTAGCCAGACAACTCCACCTGCCTGCGTCGGAAACCTTCCCTCGTCGCCCTGCTAACCAGAGAGAACAGGTAGCGAGCGTCTTCCCCGGTCCGAGTCTCTCGCGGCTGCCGAATCGCTGGGCCACCGCAGCCTCCGCCACCCCAGGGGCCGCCGCCCGGATCCGTCGCGTTGCGCGGACGCTGGAGCAGGCGGGCCCCCGCCGCGCACCCCACCCTACACGTCCAGGACGTGGTTGAGATAGGAGATGTAGCAGATGGCCAGGCGCAGGATCTCGATCTTGGAGAGCTTCTTGTCCGGGGGCAGCGTGGGCAGCAGTTTTCGGAGCTCGGCGAAGGCCAGGTTGAAGGCCTCCACGCGGATGCGCTCGCGGGTGGCGTGGGCCGAGCGGTACTTGGCCGTGGCGCGCCTGCGGCGGCGCTTCTCCTCGCGGCTCAGCTGCTGAGGGTGCGGGTAGAGCGCGGCCCGGCTGCCGCCCTTGCCGTCGCCCTCGGCCTCCTCCACCGGCTCCAGGTCCGACACGCTGCCCAGCACCTTGGCGTCCGCGCCGCCCAAGGACTCCGGATCCGAGTGCGCCGAGCTGGGATGGTCTGAATCTGCGGCTTGGTCCGGGCTCAGCATCATTTTGGAGGCTGAAGAGGGGGTCGGAAAATTAATCAATAAAAAGAATCAGGGTCTTTTGCTGGAGGGATGGCGGCGTAGGCCTACCACTCCGGCCCTCCCAACGGACTCGCGGCCCGGGCCCCCTCCCCACAGCAGGCCAGCGCGCGGCGCGGGAGGTGTCCTGAGGATCTGGCCCGGGGGCGCGAGCCCCTCGCCTCCCTTTGGCGCGGGAGCCTGCGGGGGATCAGTTGGCCCCGGCAGCATTCTGGACCCGACACCTCGACCTGCAGGCGGCCATGGTGGCCCTGTAGTCCTGGGCCTGGGGGACGACCGCAGGCCTGTGGGGTCGCGACTGGGTTTTTGTGCCTACTCCGGCCAAATGCCAACCGCTGTATTCCACCTCCCGCCCTTCGCCCCCTTCCCAGACACACAAGTGATTCGGAACACGAATACATCTGGGTTTTCATGGGGGCGGGGAGACGCGGAGTGCGCTTTCCTCCCCAAGAGCCTCCGGCGAAGCAGCCCGGCAGCCGCGGCGCCCGAGGGCCTGGCGCTGGTCTGGGGCTGCGCCGGGGGCGCCAGGCGCTGGGGTGCGGGCGGTCAGGTACCGCCATCCTGGAGCTCAGGCGGAGAGCCAGCGGCTAGGGGCGGGAAGTCTTCTTGGACCCCTCGCGCTTCTCCGAAATCATAAAGAAATGACTAAACAAACGTGGGGGAGCCTTTCAAAAGAAAATTGACTCCGATGCCCTCGCAGGCTCCCAGAGCACCATCTGTCACGCAGACAGCCACACACATAGGGGACCTAGGGACGCGGCGACATGGGCTCAGACAATGCGCCCGGCAGTCGGCCGACCACCTTGCGGGAAAATGCGGGCAGCCGGGTCGCCGGAGAGGATGCAGAGGGAAGGGAACAGAAGGGAAGAGAAGGGAAGGGCCCGGGGCGCGGCGGGCGGTGACTAGCGGATGCCGCGCGAGCGGTCCCGGCGGGAGCTGCATCTCTGCAAAGTTCGGGTGCTCCCGGAACCGGAGCTGGGCAGCCCGCAGCTGTCCCCGGGCGGCCTAGCCCAGGCCGGGCGCGTAGGTGCTTATCCTTTCTCTAACTGTGCCCTCTTGAAAACACCGCTGGCCAGGCTTCTCCGGGGCGCCTGCAGCACCATCCTCGACTGCGCGCCTTCTAGGAGGCAGCCGCTCGGAACCGCTGGGCTTCGGGGCAATTCCGGCTTCGAGAAAGGGTCGGGAGGGAGGAGAAAGGCCCCTGCGGGGGCTGCATGCACAAACCCCGGACGTCGGGAGTGAGGACCCGGCTGCGAACTCGGGGCCCCGGCGTGGGCAGCCACAGCGACGCTCGGCGCGGGAGAAATCCGCGTCCGCGACGTGTAGGAGGGTTTGCTTCTGGAGAAACAAAAGCAAGGGGATGGGTGATCGGTTCCCAGCACAGCACTAGCTGAGAAGCGAATTGGGCCGAAACAGCTTTAATTTCCCTGCAAGGAAACCAGGTCCTCTATGGCAAAATAAAAACAAATGCTCGCAGTGAACTGCATGTGACTCCCCATGGGCTTTTCTCGGGTACGTTTATGAGCAGAACAACTTGCACCTACACAGTCAGCTTGAAATCAAGGGCGGAAATAAATAGGCGAGTAATGGAAAATCACAATAAGCCACTCAATAGTTGTAGTTCTGGTAAAAAGTTCCTGGGTTGCCCTCAAAGCACGTTAAATTCTCCTCCAGATCTTTAAAAAATTCATAAATAGTACGTCGTGTGTGCGTTTTATTTCTTTATGGAATGAACTGCATCTATAAATGCAATATGAATAATCTAACTTAGTTTCAAGCTGAAAAAAAATATTTAAAGGGGTCTTACCTTGCAAAAGCCTTTTTGATAATGTCTTCTCCAATCTTTAGAGTTAAAATTCCAGGGAATAGCAAGGGGAGATTCCGGAAAATATTAAAAGCAGCAAATATTTATTACATTCAAAAATGAAAAAGCAGCTGTCATCTCGCTGGTGTCCACAGCAAGGGACGATAATATCTCAGGATGTAGACGATATGAATGATTGTTCACTTAGTTGATAGATTTTTTAAAACGCTTTTCCCTTTTAATTGTTCTCAAACATTTCAAGAAATCCGTTGTTGATTTTTTAAAGGATGTGTTGAAAAGTCTCGTGCCTTTTTTCCTCTTCTAGGTCCCTATAAATAACAAAAGAGATGCAGAGATAAACACAATCACATCAAAGGGCTGATTCCTCCACTTTCTAATAGCGGAATAATCAATAAGAAAGATGGTTAAGATAAGATTCTGCTCCTATCGGACGCCTTTCCTTTCTTTAATAGGGCCGAGCAGAAACTGGGAAGTGCAGGACAGAGATGTGATCTTGCTCAGAAGTGATTTTTTTTTTTTTTTTTTTTTTTGAGATAAGGCTTTGTTCAGCTAATGTCTCCCCAGTTCCCAGGAACACAACCCTGTAACTCGGAGCTAAGGTTGCCTCTTCCTCTTCCCTCATTTACTTGTATGTTGTATAAACAGATACCTATTTTCCAGTTTCAAAGTCTTTCAAGGTTTGGTTATATCCCCCGTCCCCACCCCCTCCTCTCTTTACCTTGTAGCAAAATATATATAGTCAGTGGCTTGGAGATGCTTGGAGAAAGGTTGGTGAAAAGTGAACGTCTCCTGGAGTAACAGTGACAAGGAAGCAGAGAAAGATGGGAAGAGGGTGGGAGAGCCAGAGCAAAGAGGCAGAGATGCGTGTGTGGCTTCTGGGCTCTCCTGGTACCAATTGATTCAGCCTGGAGATGGTGGAAGAGATAAAGGCTTAGGAAGGGGGATGGAATTTTTTTCCTCTAAATTGATATTTAATGGGAAATCCTATTGGACAGAAACCTGGACATGAGTCACTTAATTGGACTTGACATCTGTCACAGTATGGGAGTTTTCACAGCCCAAATATTTTAGCAGATCAGATTCCCACTGAATCTGTGCCATAAAATATAACAGTTGAAAGCAGTTCATGATAGAAATCTTAGCCTCTAAACAGTCTCTAGCCATAATCGGGCTATTTCTTTTTTCCAGATTACTGACACAACATTTTAGTGCAAATAAACAATATATTCACTATGGAAAAAAATCCCCTAGTATATTATAAAGTCATCATTTTCCCTTAATATTTAAAAAAATATTTGTGTCCAGAACATGGAAATATATGCTATATAAGCTGCTGCAATAAATAGAAAGTATTTAGACATGCAACAGCTAACATTTATTAGAGATCATTTACATTTTAAAAGATATTTCAATAAGATTTGATTAAGCATATTAATATTTTTGAGACATGATCTGCTCTGAGACTAACTTATCAATAGATGGTAAGAACCTTTCAATAGATTAAGCCATTAGCAGAACTAGAAATAGAACCCACATATTCAAGGACCATGGTATGAGATCATTCTACTTTTCTGTATATATATTTTTTTCTCTCCACCCACTCATTCATTCAAGCTAAAATATGATATGCTACATGTGTTCATTATTGCACTTCATTCTTGCCCATCTTAACATGCTACTATATTTAGCTCTGTGGCAGTGAGTTGAGTGAAGATGTAAACACAAATTACCAGTGTATTCCGGCACATAATTCCTTTGCCTTACATGATCCCATGGCCCTGAATTTATATACTTTATAATTTAGAAAAAGACTAGTTTAATTGTTTTGCCATTTTGTAGAGATACTCATAGTTAATATCAAATACATAGTATTTGTGATTATTTTAGCTTTTTTGATTATTCAAGCTTATAGAAATAAAAGAGCATTATAGCCTTACTTCCAGCTCCCCAACTCCTAAGGGGACATTTGTGGAAAAAGGAGTCCTCACTTGCCTTCCTTAATTTTGCCCTCAAAGCAGATTTTATCACCAGGAAAGGCACGTTGAGCAGCCCACCCCTGGGAGTGACCCCCGATTTTTCACGGCTTCCACAAGTACTGTTTGCCTTTGCCCACATTTTTGCTCCTCTGAGAGATTCCTGGACCAGAATGGGGCAGGGGTGGAGGAAAGGAGGGAGCGCCTCCACCAAATAAGGGCACCAACACTCCCCTGCCTTGCTTCTGCCTAACCGCAGCACAGAGATATATTTTAAATATCCCCAGAACATTAAAGTGAAGACAGAAGCCAGCCCCATACAGGAGGCAATAGAAACAGGATAAACACCTCATAGTGGTGATGACGAAGGGAGAAGGGAGGTTTCCTCACTCTAGTTAAGAACAGCCAATGCTAAGCGTTCACGCGCAACCAAAAGTTAGCACACAGATGCACACCCACAGATACCTGTACCTTTTCTCCCTTTCCCCCACCCTTACTCATGCAAGCTGGCTGGCTCTATTAGACCACCACACATTCAGACTGACGGATTGAAAAAAACTAATGGGTCTCATCACTATAGCTCTAGAGTAGTCAGTTGCTACAGTGGAAAAGGACCAGCATCTTTGGTTCCCTGTGTTGGGGGGTTAGGATGGGATGTGCAGGTCCAATTTTGCTATGGTATGTATGAAACCAGACAAATTCTCTTTTATGTTCAGGCTTACTCATTGTACACCAACAGCCAGCATGCACATAAATTAATGCTTACAAGAGTAAGCATATATAAACAGGTATACACTCAGATCTATACCCACCGATGCCTAGCCACACTGTCATAGACACAAACATGGATTCACATCCACACACACACCTTCTTTCTTCCAGGAAAGCCTCCCCATCCCCCACCCCTTTGCCTTTTCTAAGACCTCCCTGGCACAGATGGCCCCTCCTTCTGTGCTCCATAAGCACTCCTTTCATGTCTCCCTTAGAGACTACATATTGTGTACCGTGATTCTTGGTTTCCACACTGGTCTGTCTCCCTAGGCTATGATGCTTCCAGGGGAGGTCTGTAGTTTATATCCCCAGGACTGATGTCTGAGCTTGACATGTCATAGGTACTCAGTTCATTTACGCTGTGACTCCTTATGTACAGAGGTACCCTAGATATTTGTAATATAGAAACACATCCACCAAAGGACACCCACGGTTCAGTTCTACCAGTTTTCTTTCCTATAAAAATGAGAACAATAATATTGCACTTCTCATTTCACAGGGTTCTTATGAGACTCAATGTATGTGAAAATATTTGCTAAAATACTAAGCATCATACAAATTATGATACTATAGACTATGAGTAATATTAAATAATATGATTAAACGAATGTGGAGGTGAAAAGTAGTGACTTAAAAAGTCAGACTTTTTGACACCATCATATGCTAGCTGTGTGAACTTAGTTGTGAGTTACTTAACCTTTTTAGACCTTAGTTTTCTAATCAGTAAAATGGGAATAATCAAAGTATGTTGTGTTATGTTGTTACGTCATAATTTTTTCTGAAGGTTAACAAGATAATTTATGTAACGTGCTTAAACTAATGCCTAGAATTCATGTTCAGTAAGTGAACAGTAGTTATTGTTCAGTAACAATAATAATAATTATTATTATTCAATATAAATACCATATCCAGATATACTCACCTACATGTTTGTGTGTGTGGTGTCTCTGTGTGTGTGTGTGTGTGTGTGTGTGTGTGTGTGTGTGTGTTCATAGCTCTGGTGGCCAAACTACAAGGAGTCTTTTCCATGTGTCAGACCTAGGTATAGTGACTTTGCTCAAATTAACTCATTTAACCTTCACCACAAAACTATGAGGTAGGTAGGTACTGTTGCCCCAGTTTTGTTTACAAGGAAACTAGGACATGGAAAAGATGGTACTCTACTCAAGGTCACATAGCTAATAAATTGTGGAGCTAAGATAGAGATTCGAGTGGTCTAAATTCAGAAACTGCACTCTCAAACATAAAGTATTCTTGTTTCTGTGTTTGTTATATCCTACACGAATATACTCACACAGAACTATTCATCAAAATGCATATGGTAAGGGAGAAATGTACATACACACAAAACTTAGATAAATTGTCACCTTTGCATTCAGAGGTGGCTAGTGAATGATATGGGTTGTGTCCCCACCCAAATCTCATCTTAATTGCAGTTCCCATAATTCCCACGTGTCATTGGAGGGACTGGATGGGAGGTAACTGAATGCTATGTTAGTGATAAAGAGTTAGTTCTCCCGGCATCTGATGGTTTTATAGGGGCTGCTCCCTTTGCTTAGCTCTCATTCTCTCTCCTGCTGCCTTGCGAAGAAAGACATGTTTGCTTCCCTTTCCATCATGACTGTAAATCTCCTGAGGCCTCCTTAGCCCGCGGAACTGTGAATCAATTAAACCTCTTTCCTTTATAGATTACCCCATCTCAATTATGCTCTTACATCCACGTGAGACTAAACTAATACAGCGTCAGTGCAGTTTAAATACTCACTGTGCTTCTAGTACTTTGCCAGATTCTGTTGAACTACAAAGGTTTTGGAATTATTTGTTAATTTCATTAGACAGCTGTTTTCCATCTATTCTTTAAAATTTTGTACCCCATAGGCAAAAATTTGGAGCATACTTATTGAATATATGTATATTTATACATATACTCAATTATAATTACATAATATACTAGTATGGTAGTACATGTATAAACTTGGTACATGTACTACATATTAGTATATTATATAATTTTATAACTATATTTATAGTACACAAAAAGATATATGTAAAGATATGATAAAATAATATTTATTAAAATTACAAATATTTATCAATAGATATATTTATAAATATAAATATACATATGGGTTGGCTGTGTCCCCACCCAAATCTCATCTTAAATTGTAGTTCCCATAATTCCCACGTGTCATTGGAGGGACTGGATTTATTTATTATTAAATATATTTATTTATTATTAAAGAGATATAAACATAAAAAATTTATAAAATGATTAATTTTATTTATTAACAGTACAGAACCATTAACAACATAAGGTATTATTGATCATGTATAACTTCTGAGAGCAATAAGCCTAATTTTGTTAAATTCATTGTTTCACCCTTTGAGATAATGATTTGATCATCTGGTTTTAAGCTCAATTTATTTAGAATCTGGTTTTTGACTGACATAGCAGCAAAAGATGTAATACAAAAATTCAGATGTTATCATCACAAAGAATGATAAGCATGTGTAGTGATGGATATGTAAATTAGCTTGATTTAATCATTCCACAGTGTAAACATATATCGACACGTCATATTGTACATCATAAATGTATACAATTTTTATTTGTCAATTTAAAAAAAAGAAAAAGTGGAAACAACCCAAAGGTCCATCAACTGATGGACGGATAAACAGAATGTGATATATCCATACAATAGAAAACTATTCAGAAAGAAAAAGAAACAAAGTACTAATACATGCGACAACATGGATGAACCTCAAAAACATTATGTTGTGTGAAAGAAGCCAAACACAAAGACCACGTATCGCATGACTTCATTCATATGGAAAGGTACAGAATAGGCAAATCTATGGAAACAAGGAGTAGATTAATGCCTATACAGGGATAAGACAGGGGTAAAGAAAGGGGCCAGGGAGTGACTGCTAATCAGCACAGGGTTTCATCTTGGGATGATGGAAATATTCTAAAATTAGATTTTGGTGATGATTTCATGACTCTGTAAATATACTAAAAACAAAAATTGAGCTGTGCACCTTAAGTACGGTATTTTAAGTATATCTCAATAAAGCTATTAGAAACTTCAGAAGACAGAACATGTGATGTTTATATCACTGCAGTCGGTAAAAGCCGTGATGTCTTTTCTCACC